AAAACAACCCCCCCCCCCCCCCGGGAATTCGTATTTATTTTTTGCATCAGGTTTGATTTGTATATTTGGGGGAGGCCAGGCCCGGGGGGGTGCGGGGGGGCCGGGCTTCCCCCTCCCAGTTGTGACCCCCCCACACACACCTCCTCTTCCTCCCGCCGCCCCCTCCCGGTTGCGAAACCGACTGTAGAATTTTATTTGATGGGGTTTGGGGGGAGGGGGAGGGTGTTGCCCTTTGGGTAATAAAAATCTATATCTGTACGTCGGTCTCCTCCGTGTTTCGCGGCGGGGGGGGAGCCGCGGAGGGCACGTCCCGGTTACCGGGGGGTTCCGGGGACGCCGCTGTGGGACGCGGCCCCTTTAAATCCTTCCGGGGTGGTGTTTACAGCGCGGCGGTGAGGCACCGCCCCCAGAAGGGATAGCGGGCGGCGATTGGCTGCACAGCGTGAGGTGGGGCGGCCGGCGATTGGCCGCGAGAAGGAACGGCGGCGGGGCGGGGCGAGGAGCGGCCGGCGATTGGCTAGGGGGGGGGGGGGGCCGCGGAGAAGGCGGAGCGACAGGCGGCGAGGCGGCCGCCGATTGGTTCCCCCGGAGTGGAGGTGGGCGGGGAACGGCGGTGGGACGCTATGGCGGGCCGGGCGCTGCGCTGGGCCCGGGCACCGGCACCGGGCGCCCCTCACCTCCCCCGGGACAGGCCCTACCGGAGGCTTGAAGGCCACCGGGCGCCGCCATCACCACGGTGACAGGCCCCGGCACTGCGGCCTCTGAAGAAGCGTTTCTTACCGGAGACCGGCTGGACTCGACCACGGCGGCCGCCATCTTGCGGCAGCGACCGGACTCGGCTGCCCGTCTACGCTCCAACCTGCTAAAGGTGCTCCGCGTCCGTGACCTGGCGTTCGGAGCCTTGGGGGCCGCACGCACACTCCCCCCCGGCCCCTTCGTCTTCACCCACCACAAGCTGGACGTGCCGCACGGAGGATATCTCCCCGTTGAGGAAGGCTGACGGTGCAGCCACGGCGAAGCTCTCCACGCAGCTCCCGCTGACCGCGCAGCGCTTCCCGGTGCGAGGTGGGTGCGGGCAGGAGCGGGCCGCCATCACCCTGCCTGCTGGGCTGCTTGGAGGGTTCCCCGGGCACGGCGATGGCGGATTGTTCGGTGGCACCCGGGCCGACGCTGGCCGCTCTCCCCGTAGAGCTGGAGCTCTTCAGCCCAGTCCGCATCTCCAAGAAGGCCCTCCTGTGCTTGCTGAGCTGTCTCGGTGTCATTCAGGAGCTGAAGTTTGAGGAGAACAACGCTTCGCTCCGGAGCACTGCTACTTCATCCTCATCCTGCAGGTACGGCACCACCCGCCACCGGCTGCGCAGGGACCTGGCCGTGGCCGATCGGCCCCGTGTGTGTGTCCTCTCCTGGGTCCTGCCACGATGTCTGCACGGCACTGAGTGCTCTCTGCGCCTGTCAGGGCACGTTGAGGGGCGGCTGTGCCGGTGCTGCAGGCTGTCCCGTGCTGCACAGGCTACAGGCAGCGCTCCCTTCTGCCTGCCCCAAGCTTCCCGCTCTCCGCAGGGCCGCATGGAGGTGGAGATTGGGAAGGAGAGCCTGAAGTTTGAAAATGGAGCCTTCACCTGCTATGGCGTCTCTGCACTGGCACCGCTACCTGCAGGTGAGAGCAGCCAGGAGGACCGGACCCACTCGCCTGTTTTTTGGGGTGCAAAGGGAGATACTCTTTGGCAGCTTCTGGCTCTCTGATGCCATCCGCCGTGTACCCATCCCCAGCATCCGGAATCAGCAGCTGGGCTGTGCCGACTACGCCAGCTGCTCCTTGTACTGCCCCGACTACAGCATGCGGGTGCTCACCAACCTGCAGCTGGCCAAGGTAGGGGCTGGATCCGTCCCTCGGGGTCCTGCTGGGAGCCTGCCTCTGCCTCACCCGGCTTTTTGGGAGCGCCATGACCCGTGCTGAGCTGCCTGCAGGTCTCCCGCCATCCCCGACCCTGCTGCCAGACTGTGGCTGTGCCGCATGGCACTGACCCACTCTCTGCCCAGGTGATGCAGCCGCAGTTATCTCGGTGCCCTTGCGGCCGCCGGGCTCCCAAATCCAGCCAAGTCACCCAAGAGCATTGAGCCAAAAATTGTCCCCAGCAGCCGGCCCGCGCTTCTGAGCCACCAGAACACTGCACCAGGTAGGGAGCTGGCACAGCAGCAGGACAGTGATGGCTGCCCCAGTAGCCGTGCCCAACTGGGAACCGTGCCCTGGGCATGGCTGGGGGGTTCTGGGGCGCTGGTGGATCCACCTCCATCTCCGGTTCTTCTTGGCAGCGAGCAGATGACACTGGACCACGGTATGGCAGGGCAGCGTGGCCACCAGGAAGCCCGATTTGGGGTGCCCCCTGCGAGGCTCCCTCCTCCCCACACGTAAGTCACACATCTCTCTCTCGACTGTGTCTTGCCACGTTTCCCCAGCTCGGAGGCTAACCGCCACCCCGGCACAGGCACCACGAGCTCAGCAGCTGCTGTTTTCTCTGCTGCAGGCGACCCCAAAGCATCCCGGGGGGAAGCAGAGAGCCAGGGCCGAAGCCCTTCTGCCTCCTCGGCGCTCCCGGTGCTCACCGGGGTGGGAGCTGGTGACCACAGTGTGAGTCCTGCAGCGTTTTCTGGTTCAACAAAACACAATTTTCCCCGTTTTTAGTGGTTTTTTTAGGAAATAAAAGCCACTGCAAGAGTGTGGGGTGTCTGTGCCTCCCTCCTGGCAGTGGAAAAATAGTGCTGTGGCCCCCCCACTGCTGCCAAGCCCCCCCGCCGGTGGGTGAGCCCTGGCCCACGCTGGCACCCGGCGCAAGGGACAGAGAGGCAGAGTCGGCGTTCGGTGCCAGGAGCTTTGTTTATCCATCGGCGACCGGGTCCGGTGGCACCATGTCTCCCGCGGCGCGGTGGCTCTGACTCTCCTGGCTCTGCCGTGTCCCCCTCAGGTATCCAACAGGTCCTGCACCTCCGGGTCGGCCACGTCGCGGGGTCGCCGACCCTTGGCGTCGCAGATGCTGGCCAACGCCGGGCTGTGCCGCAGGAACAGGGCGCAGAGCTCCCGGTGGCCTTGCTCAGCCGCCTGTGGGCGACACATCCGTCGTCGCCGGTGGCACGGCCGGAGGGGGGACAGGGGACATCCTACCGCCACCCACCTTGTGCAGGCTGGTACGGCCGTCCTCGTCGGTGGCAGCTGGGTCAGCGCCGTGGGCCAGCAAGAGCTGGGCGACGGCGAGGTGGCCGCAGTAGCTGGCGCGGTGCAGGGGGGTCGCACCCCCGGGCGTGCGGGCGTCGCAGCGGGCGCCCCGCTGCAGCAGCAGCTGGCAGACCCCCAGGTGCCCGTTGCGGCTGGCGTAGTGCTGGGGGGGGGGGGAG